AGGAGATCATTGCCAGCAATCTTCCTTCCCGGGGTGACTGACATTGATGTCCATTGGTTTTCCTTAGGTTGGTTAGTAAAGGGAGCAGCAGAACTTTGGGTCAGGGGCGGCAGTGGGGGTGGGGTTGGTGCAGCGCACTTATTTACACGCTTCAAATTGAAATCCAGGCAGGGTTTTGCTGACCTTGCATAATATGCTCTCCTCCACGCAGGGTTATCCCACCTGCCAGTTCCTAGGGGACTTGACACCAGCAACCCTGGAAAGTGAATGAGGTCACCAGGAGGAGAGTCAAGTCCACACCGGTTTGAAAAAGACCTAGGACTGAAGAGGCAGGCCATTCATTGTTGGTACTGCCGTGGAGTGGGCTTTCTGAGCTATCTTGTGGGATTACAGGCCAGCGAACTATCTGAAAGAGGACTGAGGGCTTTGGGGACATCCTCTCATGTATCTGAACCACATCCCAGCATCCCTACGATCAGGCCGGGTTTTGTCAGTGGATCAGGGATATTGTCTTCAGCATCCCCTGGCCACTTGTGCCTCAGCTCTGCCACGAGCTCACTTCTGGTTCCTCTTTTCAAAATCTGTGTTTGGCCAGAGGGGTGTCAGGGAGATTAGAGCCAGGTGGGCCAGGGACCCAGTTCTGCTTCTCACAAACTGCAACCTTGGCCAGGGACCTTCATCTCAGTAGGCTTCCTCTTTAAAATGGAACCAATGGGGCTAGACAGATGGCTCAGCAGTTAAGAGCATTGGCTACTCCTCCCAAGGACCTGGGTTTGATTCCCAGCACTCATATGGCAGCTCACCGCCATCTGTAACTCCAGTTCCAGGAGATCTCACTCTCTCTTTCTGGTGTCTGTTAGTACCAGGCATGCATATGGTATGCAGACACACATGCAGACAAAACACTCATACACATAAAATAAAAATAAAAGTTTAAATGGTGCTAGCATTAGATAGGACCACGTGAATTTGTCATCTTTACAGTTTCGCTACTGACCATGCTGTATGGTTCAGCCTAGTAATGCCTTTCTGGTGGGACTGTGGGAAATTATATATGTCTTATAGTTCAGTGGGATGGCAAGTGAAAACCAATGTTTCTTCCTAGGAAACACCGACTCTCAGGGTAAGTTTCTTCTTGCCTCTCTTCTCGCAGAAGGACTACCTGTAGCCTGTCTTCCAAAGTCCCTTCCAAACACCCCACTCTGTTCCTCCTAATTCAATTGGCTCAGCTCCTCTCCAAGCCAGGCACCCCTCAGGTTGTCCATGGCTCACAGAAGTGATGTTTGCACATGTGTTGTCCCTGTGCCTTCTCCGTGTCTATCTGGAGCCTCATCTTTAGGCAGAATGGTGGAGACGGCACACGAGGCTCATTTTGAGTGATCCTGAGCTAATTGCTGGCTGTTGGTCCGCAGCTCTGTGACAGGAAGAACAGGAGTGTGACCCCTTTCAGCCCTGGGGTCAGAGGGGGTCCTGCCTTACAGGTGAGCTCCGGGCAGGGCAGGGCATGATGGTACCACACACGAGAGCTGTTTGAGGCCAGTGCTGGTAAAGGAGCAGAGTGGGTAATGGGTCCTGGCATATGCCTTCATTGGGATATCCCTTCTGGATTGGCATCAGCTGTAGTCAGGTAGACTCAGAGGCCTGGGCATGGGCTTGTGTGGTCTTTCGTCCAGCTCCTGCTGGGAGATGAAGTCCCTTAGGGTGGAGTTGGTGGAATAAATGGGAAGGGATTTAATATTTGATCGACACCTATGATGAGTCAGGTTGGCGTTGGGTACCTTTACCTCCCAGGAGGTGGCAAAGAAAGTTCCTGAAAGGGATCTTGTCCATGCATCAGCTCCATTGTTTGCCTGAAGAAGACAGAGACTGGCTTGAAAGGTGTTCAGGGTCTGGGCGCTCCAAGTCCTTCCTTCCTACTACCCCAGTTCCCTTGTCGTCCTGCCCTGAGGCCGAGCCAGACTGCCCTGTAACACAGGTGCCATCCACTTCCCTCCTTTCTATCACCGAGGAAACTGGGGCTTACAAACGTCAGTGACTCACAAAGCCACTCTACTGATGGGTGGCAGAGTAGTTATCTAAAGGCAGGACAAGTGTATAGCCTGCTGGCCTGTGTGGGATCCTGGCATCGTGCTTTGCTCACTTTTTTTCTTTTTCCCGAGACAGGGTTTCTCCATGTAGTTTTGATCGACACCTATGATGAGTCAGGTTGGCGTTTTGTAGTTTTGGTGCCTGTCTTGTATCTCGCTCTGTAGACGAGGCTGGCCTCGAACTCACAGAGATCCACCTGGCTCTGCCTCACTTTGCTCACTTCTTACACACCAGTGATGGTTCCATTTGTGTGTCAGGGAATCCTGTCACTGACCTCAGAAGCTCTCAGATGACCTGGGGACTAGGCATAGGCTCCTGAAGGAAAAGTCCTCGCCACCCCCTGTTGCCTGGTGACCTGCGCCGTTCAACCTTATGGTCTCACTCTGGCCATTCTTAATCTTGGTCTCTTTAGTCCTAATTAGTGACACATGGGCTGAGTCATGATAGCTTTTCCTCAGGCTCCGGTGGCACCTGGTCTTTCTTTCTCTCCAGACTCTACTCAGATGTACCCCTCAGGGACAGTCCACCTTTGGCATGCTCTGTGAAAGGAATTAGCTTTCCTGATGACCTGGGGCTCAGGGTTTGAGGGACTGGTTAGCAGCATTGGATGGTGGTGTCCTGGCCGTAAACAACTGAGTTAGACACCAATGGTTTCTCTGAGGAAAAGGACAGGAGCTGGGCAAAACTCTGAAGGCTACCTTTAAATGTCTTCTGCCTTGACTTTCTCTGAGCCTCCACCTACCCTCTACATCTAAGAGGCCTCCCTGGAACGCACATGGCTTGCCGGCAGCCTTTCTGTGGCTCACCTGTCATTCCTGGTCTGGCTTATCTCTCCAGCCTCATCATTTTTCCTTCCTTCTTCCTCCTCGGATCCAGCTGTTCTGAGCTACTTGCTTGTCTCACGAGGCTGCCGTCCTTCCGCCTCTGCGCCTCTGTGGTATGTGCTATTTCCCCTGCCTCGAATCTCTCTTCCCGTTTGTCCAGTTGATCCGTTTCAGCCTGTGGGATCTAGGTTCTACACCGTCTCTTCTCTCTCCCTGCCCTTAGCTCCATCTCTGATCTCCTAGGTCGCAGGTACACAGAGTACTGACTGTGGCGATCGCACTGTGGCCTTGAGGTCCACCTGCAGTCCCAGTGGTCAGTTTCTCTGGTCTGGGGGTCCGTGGCTGTATAAGCCATTTTGTGACCCTTATCTTTCTCCCGGGGCTTGGCCCATGTTGTCAAGCAGATGGTCAAACCATTGGTCATGGTCTGGGGTCGTCCCTGTCTGCTAATTCCCCTGTGGTAGTGCTGATGCTGCCCGACGCTGATGTCCTCACCTGGCTGATGGTCAGACGGGGTCCGGCTTCTGTTCCTTTTGCTGTCTCACAGACGGGGCATGTACCACAGACTCACGCAGCTCTGGCTTCCTTTTCCTCTCAGACCCTAGTGCTTGTGTTTGGCCTGGTCTACTTCATCTTGCTATATTTGGCCAAACGCTTTTTATCCAGAAGACTGTGTTACTGGCCAACCCTCGTTTCCCTGGAGAGCTGGCAGCCCAGATAATCAGAGTGTAAACTGTCAGTCAGATTCATTGATTTTGTAAATGGCCAGGTGAGACTCACTTCTACAGGTCAGGTCAAGTAAACAGTGAGTGACGTTTGTGACAGCCAGAAAACCTGCTTTTTGTCAAAACTGCATTTGATCATGAAGGTAAGTGTGTATCGAGAATGGAATGTATATTTAAAAACAGGCATAACTAACATATGACACCAAAAAATAGATCAAACAGACTAATCTTCTATGAATAGCATTTCTCAAAGGGTCCCCAAACCACATGCAGCAAAATCTTACAGGTTACTTGCTAAATACAGATTCCTTGGCTCCATCCCATACTCACTTAACTGGTACTTCTGGGGAGGGCCTTGGAATCTTCACTTTGAACATATCCCTGCGATGACCCTGATGTTTAGTGAAGGTTGAGAATGGCAAACTTGTAGGATTAATGATTCCTGGAAAACCTAAGTGATGATTTCCAGGGGGATAGTCAACAGTAGGGTGGGTGGCCCTCCATATCAGGCTGCCCATCACTGGCATTACTGTTTGAAGAATTTGGAGCCCAGGGTCTGAAGAGTCAGTGTTGTTAGAGGATCCATTTGTTCAGGAAGTCTACGTGGAAGGGTAGCTGGTGCCAGTGGGTGGAGGCATGTCAGGTGACTTGAGCATAGGTATGCTGTAGGGAGGGTGATGAGCATCGTGTATTGGTGGCCAGGAGTGTGCATGAGTAGTGTGGGCAGCACCGAGAAGGCAGTGTACCGATGAACCAATCTGTATCACTGGAAGTCTTCTCCTTCACCATGTGCCGCCTCAGAAAGGATGACAGTGTGTTAGGGTCTGAAACCAGGAGGGTGCACTGTGTGCCAAGCTCCCGAGTACAGATTCCACGAGTGTCATGAAAGACTGCCAGGGTCACTATATGCAGTAGGATCTATCGCTGTCTTTGTTGGGATAACGCTACAAAAAAGTTTTCTATGCTTCAAGTTCCTTCTCATCAGAACAACCTCAAATCCTGAGGTCAGAGGGAGCTTGTCAGGCAAGTTATGGCATTAGAAAGTCAGATACCTTATTAGCTGTGAGAGTATGGGTAAATGGCTTCCTGTGTGGCTTTTAGGTTTTTCATCAATGAACTAGGTTGATAATACTTGTCAGAATCAAGTAGCTAACATGCAAAGCACTGAGTACAGTCTCTGGCACACAGCAAATGCTGCCTACAAGGTAGTGATTATTGGATACCAGTCTATTACCTTAACTCTTATATGATAACTCTCAATGCCATGGACAGAAGGAGCCAAGAACCTTCTTCCTCACCCTTGTTCTTACCTGGGTTCCATCCTAGAGACATGATCCTGGAATCCTATTTGTTTGCTTTGCAGGCTGCACCTCTGCACTGGGCCCTTCAGTCCTGGAGTTCCTGGATCTTCTCACACCCACCATGAATACCTCCCAATTCCTGGCCTCCCTCTACCCAGGATTCCTGCAGGGTAAGAATGGGACCCATCCATTGGATTTCCTCTACAACTTCTCTGTTGGCTGCCAGGATTCAGTGGACCTGTTAGCCTTCATCATCACCACCTACAGCATCGAGACCATCTTGGGGGTCCTGGGAAACCTCTGCTTGATATATGTGACCACCAGGCAAAAGGAGAAGTCCAACGTGACCAACCTACTCATTGCCAACCTGGCCTTCTCTGACTTCCTCATGTGCCTCATATGCCAGCCGCTCACAGCCACCTACACCATCATGGACTACTGGATCTTTGGTGAAGTCCTTTGCAAGATGTTAACTTTCATCCAGTGCATGTCAGTGACAGTCTCCATCCTCTCATTGGTCCTCGTGGCCTTGGAAAGGCACCAGCTCATCATCCATCCAACAGGCTGGAAGCCCAGCATTTTCCATGCTTACTTGGGGATTGTGATCATCTGGTTCATTTCTTGCTTCCTCTCCTTGCCCTTTCTGGCTAACAGCATCCTGAGTGACCTCTTCCACCACAACCACTCTAAGGCTGTAGCGTTTCTGGAGGACAAGGTGGTCTGCATTGTATTCTGGTCCTCAGACCACCACCGTCTCATCTACACCAGCTTCCTGCTGCTCTTCCAGTACTCCATCCCTCTGGTTTTCATCCTGGTCTGCTATGTACGCATCTACCAGCGCCTGCGGAGGCAGAGGCGTGCTTTCCACAAGGATGCTTGCAGTTCACGAGTGGGGCAGATGAATCGGATCAATGGCATGCTCATGGCAATGGTGGCTGCCTTTGCCGTGCTCTGGCTGCCCCTGCATGTTTTCAACACTCTGGAGGACTGGTACCAGGAGGCCATACCTGCTTGCCATGGCAACCTCATCTTCTTGCTATGCCACATGCTTGCCATGGCTTCCACCTGTGTCAACCCTTTCATCTACGGCTTTCTCAACACCAACTTCAAGAAGGATATGAAGGCCCTGGTGCTGACCTGCCATTGCAGGTCACCCCGGAGGGAGTCGGAGCATCTGCCCCTGTCCACTGTGCACACGGACCTCTCCAAAGGATCTCTGAGGCTGGGTAGCAAGTCTAACTTCATGTAGTCCTGTCCAGGCTTTTCCTTACCATTTTCTTTTGACAGACCCTTTCACTTAGCTTAAGTAGACCCATTGCAGACCGGGTTAGCATCCTGTTATTTTTGGCTTTGGGAACTAAGATAGGCTGGCAAGAGACTTGAAGCTTGGCAGTCAGATGGTTTAGACATTTGCTTGTGGGAGAATTTTGAATCCAGATTCTGCAGATTACACAGTGAACTTTGAGCTTGACCTTCAGGGTGTTACAGCCAGAGACGGTGGGCACTAACAGCCACTCAGCACAGATGCCCGGCCTAAGAACCTTCATCCACGTCCTGGGCATTCAGCTAACTTGCCCTGAGCATTGTGCTATGCTCTTTCAAGGGATGCTGGGTGTCCCAGTAGCCTTCGACAGAAGCAGGTTCAGGGAGTCGGAAGTCTGTTTAATAAAGGAACAGGGACAGTAGGAATGGGTTACAATGAATGTGACTGTCTCATCTATGGAGGTCAAAGTTCAGTGCCCCTCCTGGCTGCTGAACTGGGTTCGAGGCATCCTCAGTGTACGAACTAGACAGCTTGTCCTTAGAAAGAAGGGAACGCCAACATAGCTCTTGGCCCACATACGATGGGATATTACAGCCCAGTTCTGTCTGTGTAGAGCTACCTTCCAATACAGTGAATACACCAGTCCCATGGAAGGCCTGCCCCCACTCTGAGCAGTGTCTGGTGGGCTTTCCGGCCTTGGTCCCTTACCAAGCATATGTGTAACTGATGTCCAGGATGGGTGCTTCTGGCCACCACTTCCTTCTAGCTTGTCTCAGCGTTTGGTCACATTTCCAGTTTAACTCCTTTGTTCCTGGATTTTGAGATTTCTTTTCTTTTCTTTTTTGAAATGGGGCCTTACTGTGTAGCCCAGGGTGGCCTAGGGCTCCTGCCAAGCCTCACTTCTCAGCACTGGTTGAAGCATAAGTCATCACACACATCATGAGAGATGAGTGTTTGAGGCACTCTTGTTCTCTGGCAGAGGCTGGTGCTGACTATTTCAAGTGACCAACTTTGAGCAAAGGCTAGACTTTCAGGACCACCCTGGCAAGATGTCATTGTCCAAACCACACACACACACACACACACACACACACACACACACACACACACACAACCAGGACCTCAGCCTTCTCCAGATACGGTTCTGGTTCCTAGAATTTATGCTTTTCATTAATTAGGCTCAATGGGGCCAAGATGCCAATGGTTCAGGTTAGATATTTGGTGAAGGTGTTAGGAATTGGGATGCTATATAGAAGCTGCCCTGAGTGTCTATTCTGTCCCCGTCCCCCGACCCTGGTTAGGATGACATTAGCCTACCCAGACGGCCGTTTCCTGATCCTGGTGTCCTGGTGTCTAATGGCCCAGGATTTGTTGGTTACCAGCTTCCTTGATGTTTGCCAACCTGAGCATGTTCTGCAGACCAGTCTCCCTTGCACCTGGAGGCTGTTAGATGTGCAGTCTTTGCTGCAGATGTGCTGAAGATGAACCTGCTTTTGGCCAGAAGATGTAGGTTAATTGTAGGCACACTGAAGACAGGAAGCTCTGCTTAGGAAGTAGGTCATCCTGGGGCTTGGGTGAAAACCTGTAAATGTACACTCTAGGGGCTGAAGTGGATCTATGTTCTGAACAGCGCTTTAAACATTGAATTGCTAAAAAAGAGATATTCTGTTTTGGCTGTTGTTTCTCTGGCTGCACGTGGACATATTTTTTGTGGAGCTTTTTCATTATTACAATAAATACTTGCCAAATATATAGGGTGCAAAGCTCCATTCACAGGGAGCCTGCCCTTTGTATTCTGCTCTACTTCACATAAAACTATACTGCTAACATTTTCCCATTGGTTTTGATAGCTGCTTACCAGTTCAGAAACTGCTGGCACCCCTCAGCATTCCTATGTAACTCCTCGCAGTGGGTGGTTGTGGGGAAGGCTCCTATGGCCAAGTTAGTAGCAGTTCCGTGTCGAGGAGTGCTGGGGTTAGCTCTGGAGACCTTCCCACAAAGCAAACCTGGGAGTTCTGAGACTATGTGAAGCCTTATCAAATCCTGGCAGTAAGAGCTCAACCTTGTTTGACTCTAGCCTTTTCCTCTTCAATAAACAACCTTGACTTGCCTTATAAAAGTAATCCCATTCAAAAGTAAACATATTCCAAAATAAAGTTAAAGAAAAAAATTGTCCACAGTTCCATTGTTCAAAGATAATCACTGATTATATTTTTGGGGCTCATTTTTAGTTAGTATATGCATATGTCCGTTTAAAAAATATTACTGAGATTAAATTATGTATGTATTAATATTTACATTATATAGCATTTAAGGATCATGTACATAATATTTAAGGATTATTTCACCTGAGACAGGCTACTGCTATGTGACTTAGGCTACTATGGAACTAACTGTACAGTCCAAATTGGCCTCCAACTTGTGATTCTCCTGCCTCTGTCTCTTGAGTGCTGGGATTATAGGCCGGCACCACCACATGTGGCTTAGCTTGATTTTTTCCTTTTTTTCAAGACAGGGTTTCTCTGTGTAGCCCTTCCTTGGCTGTCCTGGAACTTGCTCTGTAGACCAGGTTGCCTTTGAACTCAGAGATCTGCCTGCCTCTGCCTCCTGAGTCCTGGGATTAAAGGTGTACACCACCACTGACTGGCTCTTCTTTCTCTTTCTTTCTTTCTTTTTTTTTTAAATTTTTAAAAATTTTTTATTTTTTATTTTTGGTTTTTCGAGACAGGGTTTCTCTGTGTAGTTTTGGGCCTTTCCTGGAACTCGCTTTGTAAATCAGGCCGGCCTCGAACTCACAGAGATTCACCTGCCTCTGCCTCCAGAGTGCTGGGATTAAAGGTGTGCACCACCACTGCCCGGCTCACTCCTTTCTTTCTTTTCTTTCTTTCTTTCTTTCTTTCTTTCTTTCTTTCTTTCTTTCTTTCTTTCTTTCTTTCTTTCTTTCTTTCTTTCTTTCTTTCTTTCTTTCCTTCCTTCCTTCCTTCCTCCTTCCTTCCTTCCTTCCTTCCTTTCTTTCTCTCTCTCTCTTTCTTTCTCTTCCTTCCTTCCTTCCTCCCTTCCTTCCCCCTCTCTCTCTTCCTTCCCCCTTCTCTCTCTTTCCCTTTCTCTCTCTCTTTCTGTCCATATTTCTTTCATTAACTTGTTCACCAAACATTCTAGATGCTGTATTAGCTCTGAGGGGTACAATGGTGAGCACAGTAATTATTCCAAAGCTCTTCTCTGCTCTTTCTTGTTTCTGTTAGGGGGCAGCCATAAAACACATGAAAGTTGGAGGTGGGAAAGAGAGATATTTATTTATTAAAAAAGATTTATTTTATCTTGAATTATGTGTAAGCATGTGTATCTATGTGCTGGTTTGTGAACATGAGTGCAGGTGCCCCTGGAAGCCAGAGGTGTTGGGAACTCTGGGGCAGGGATAATAGACAACCACTTATGCGGCACCTGATGATGTAGGTCCTGGGAACCGAACTTGCGTCCTCTGTAAGAGCAGTACCTGCTCTTAAGCCCAGCCATTTCTCCAGCTCTGGGCTGCTGTTGAAGATTTGCCATTTACCATTACCAAAGTCTTTGTCCAGAATTACCTCGTCTAGAGTATATCTGCTTTCTTTCTTCTGTGATCCACCTAGCCCTGTGAACACTGACCTTTCTGGGTTCAGCTGCTATCTCTCTGTGAGGCTGCAGGGGCTCCACATGGTTATGCAAGACTGTGGTTGTGGTGTGAATGAGAAATGCCCAACGTAGGCTCATGTATTTGAATACTCAGTCCCCAGTTAGTGGAACTGTTTGGGGAGATGGAACCTCGCTGGAGGAAGTGTATCACTGGGGGTGGGCCTTGGAGGGTTTATAGCCTTGTCCCATTTCCTGTGCTCTCTCTCTTTTGACTTCCAGTGTGTGAAGGAAATGTGATCTCTCAGCTTCCTGTTCTTGCTTCCATCTCTCCCCTCTATTATGGACTCTCTCCGTCTGGAATCATGAGTCAACATAAACCCCTTTCTTTCCTGTCTAGCTTCTTGCCAGGGTATTCTATCACAGCAACAGAAAAGTAGTAATGCAACTGAGTACTTACTTCATCATCTAAACTGGGGGTACTTGAGCCCTGATAATGATCAATCTGGGACAGCAGGAGAAAATACCCCGGGACACAGGAATGTGAGGGGGTCCCACTGGAGATAAGCCCAACCCTTGAACACAGCTTGACCCCAGCAATCTCTCTCTCCATCCCACCTTCCCTGTCCTTTGCTTTATATTGTATCATATAGTCTCATTGCAAAGGACACACAATTCCCCAGCAGGCCCGGGTTTCCCACTCTGTACATTTACTCCTGATGTTTTCCCTCCTGCCTCCCCAAAAACCTCTGCCCCATCAGTGGCCAATGTTTTACTCACCGTTCAAGTAAGTCTAAATCTTCCTTTTCCTTCCAAACACAAGTCCACTGTCACTATTGATTATTACACCCATCCATCAAATACTGATGGCTCATTACGTGGCAGAAACATGGTGAACAAGACTGAAAAAAAAGATCTAAACTAAGATTCTTCATGCTGCCTGTACTGGCTGGTTTTGTGTGTCAACTTGACACAAGTTAGAGTCATCAGAGGAAGGAGCCTCAGCTGAGGAAATGCCTCCATGAGATCCAGTGTAAGGCATTTTCTCATTTAGTGATCAATGGGGGAGGGCCCAGCCTATGGAGGGTGGTGCCATCCCTGGGCTGGTGGTCCTGGGTTCTGTAAGATGGTGGGCTGAGCAAATCATGGGAAGCAAACCTGTAATCAGCTCCCCTCCATGGCCTCTACCATAGCTGCTGCCTCCAGGATCCTGCCCTGTTTGAGTTCCTGTCCTGACTTCCTTCAGTGATGAACAGCAATGCTGAAGTGTAAGCCAAATAAACCCTTTCCTCCCCAACTTGCTTTTTGATAATGGTGTTTTATCACAGCAGTAGAAATCCTAACTCAGAGACTGCCTTTTAGGGATCTTTTAACTTACCTGTGCAGTTGTAACAGCTGGTCCTAGGGGTGGCCACTGTGATGTGCTGCACAGTCTCCTGTGCTATGGATGTCGGGTTTCAATAGACACACCAATTAAACCACAAGACTGTGAGCTCTTGGAGAGCAAAGCCCAAGAAGCCCATTCTACATCCCCGTGACTCTCACATGTCCTTGGATAGAGTATGAACTCAACAAATGTTGCCTGTTGTGGGATATTTGTACACTATGTGAAGATGTGTTGCTGTGATTGGTGTAGTATAGAGCTGAATGGCCAATAGCTAGGCAGCAAGATAAGTGGGACTTCCGGAGAGAGAGAGAGAGGAAGAGGAGGAGGAATCTAGGCATGTGGGAGATGCCAGCAAGACACCAATGAGACACAGAGGGAGACGGACATACAGAATGAAAGAAAGGTAAAAAGCCACATGGTAAAACGTAGATTAATAGAAACAGGTTGATTTAAGTTATAAGAGCTAGTGGGACAAGCCTAAGCTAAGGCCAAGATTTCATAATTAATAACAAGTCTCCATAACATTATTTGTGAGCTGGTGACCCAAAGAAAAATCTGACTATAATTGGCCAAGGGCAGAACTAAAGAAGGTTGTTTACTTAGTTTAAAGAGGACTTTCCTTTTTAACAACCAGTTCAAGGTTTCCTTGAATCTGTGCAGGATTAATCAAAGGAGCAGGATTAATCAAAGGAGCAGGATTAATCAAAGGAGAACCTGAGTCTCCATCGACCCTAAAGGACCCCCTCCCCATTCTTCAAGCGTTGTGGCCTCAAGGAGGCTGTGTGGCTGGGTGGTCATGGCTTGCTTTCTCCTAGTCTAAATATCAGCACTTCCTCGGAATTTGGTCCCGTCGACTCTGAAAAGAGTTTATCAAAGCGGTCAACTGGAGGCCGGCCCAAAGCCCTCTTAAATGCATGTCCCTTCGTTCGTAACTATGTGAATAGGGCACGACTTCCAAAGAAATCAGACTGGAAATAGGCCACACATTCAGAGCAAAGAATACTAGCCTGCTGGTGAAACTTTGAGACAGCTCTTGTGAGGTGGTGTGCTTTGTGAAGCTGGCAGCCTGGACCACTTTGTAAATGTCATTTGTAGCCCTTTGTGGGTGGTAGATGGATGCCAAGTTTCCCTAGAGGGAAGGCCTCTTTTAAGAACCTTCTTTCTGGGGCTGGGGAAATTCTTCGGTTGGTAAAGTGCTTGTCATGCAGCCCTGAGAACCTGGGTTTGAACCCCAGAACCCATGTAAAAAGCCAGGTATGTTTCTGTGTACTCATAATCCAACCACTGGGTAGACCCTTGGTGTTGCTGGCCAGACAGTCCAACCCAATAAATGAACTCTAGGTCCTAATGAGAGACCTTGTCTCAAAAAACTAGGAGAATGACTCTTGAGGAGCCATACCCAAGGTTGACATTTGTCCTCCATGTACATTTGAGGACAAGCTGTGCACCCCCACACCCTTTTGCTTTATTCACACACACACACACACACACACACACACACACACACACACACACACACGCGCCTCTTCATCCCGAGTGTGTATAGCAGGAGGGAGGCTTATGTCATTGGCTGTGAGCTTTGGTCTGGTTCTCAGGTTTCTAGGCTTTATCAGAGTAGGTTGGCACTGGAGCTTCATCTCGATGGAGGAAAAACTGAGGTATCTCATTGTTATCTTTAATAATTCTGAAGCTATGGTCTGTTCTCTCTTCTTACTCTTCAGGGTGTGGCCTTAAAACACACAAAAGATGGAGGTGGGTATAAATGATTAAAGATGGAGGTGGGTATAGACGGTTAAACACACAAAAGATGGAGGTGGGTATTGACGGTGATGCAGCACCTGATGATGTGGTGCTGGGAACTAAACACAGGTCCTCTGCAAGAACAGCACCTGCTCTTAACTCCAGCTGTCTCTCCAGCCCTGGAAAGAGAGATGTATAAATCAGGACGGGAATAACTTGGATGTGGAGGTAGACTCAAATTCTTCTTACTTTGTTTCACACATTCAGCTCCTGACACAGACTGTCACCTTTTGACTCTCCAGAAACTGAACCCATGGCCTGTCTCCCAGAGAAGCACACATCAAATCATGTTATCTCATAATTAAACAGATGTCTGAGGCAGCCCTGTGGACTTCCCACTAAACTCAGGGGTAATGAACTGAGGTTCCATCTCTTCTCCCTGTCGGTTTTCTGGGTAAGTTTGGGTACGGCCTCCATTCAACTCTTCCTAACTCTAGGAACTAGGGGAAAGAACATGGGCTTCGCGGAGCCCGATAGACCTGAAGTCTGAGGTCCATCTCATGAACCTTCTCCCAGCTCCCTATTTGAGAAATGAAGACAATGAAGCAGTATTGGCTGACATAGAAGACCCTCTTAGCTTGGCTCATTTAGGTTGGCCTGCTTTGAGAAAGGGTTGACAGTGAAATTGTGGAAGGGGTGGGGAGAGACCAGGGACTCCTAAGTCACATGGGGCTTCTGTGTGGGTGAGACACAACCCTTCAAAGTCTGTCTGAGTTTTCCAGGAGGGCAAGTGTAGCTATCAGCTAACCCTGATTGGATGTTTTAGGATTTTTGCTACTGATGAGGAGCTGATTTTTTTCCTTCCTCAATTCCAAGTTGAGATGTTCTAGG